ATTTTAATAATAAAATCGATTTAATTTTAAATATTTACCGTAAAGGTGGATGTCCCGAAATTAAATTTGTGTGATATACGAAACCATCTACGACGTATTTATTTCTGATTGATTTCTTCGTTGTTGAATTGGATCGATTCACCTTTTTTGATGGTTTATGGTTATCTACCAAAATAACAATGTGTTATTTTGGATTAATCACTACACTAACACTTTTATTAATCAATTAATCACTCGTAACTCAATTTTTGTTTTGTATAAATTATAAATAATCGAAATAAATTATTTATAAAAAATATTTTATAATTTTCATTAATATTGTACTTAATTTTATCTTTAATGTAATTCAATTTTGCACTTTTTTGGATGGATATAGTTTTAAAATAAAGTTTCGCTTTTACAAAATCATTATCAGGAACTACCTAATTACAAAATTATTCAAATTAATATGAAACTTACAAAGCACATGTCATCTTTTAGTTGCAGGTTATGTCTATCAAAAATTAAAAATAAAAACTTACGTCAATAACAAATTAAAAATCCTCACACTATTTTCAAACATTTTAAAATGCTTTCAATATTGTTACTAAATAATTAATGTAGCTTCTTCAATTATTAACAAATATATATAAATTCTAACTTATTAGAGTTATTATACTCTATTTTTTAATTCGGAGGAGTGTTTTCAAATTGGTCAATTTTAAGCAAAAATTACACTCAGTATGGCTAAACCCGAATTATTCTAGTTCTAGGTCTTGTGTTAGTTTTAGTGACAGTGTAAAATTAGAACTAACACTCACTGGCCTAAAAATGCGTTACGTAATGAAACTAGTGCGGTAATGAACTTCATTACATAACTCAAATCACCTCAAATTAGTGTGGTAATGATGACTTATCCAAGCAGTCGTAGATAATAGTTATTTATATTACAAGTGCACTAAAAACATAGTTATTGTACGAGTGTGGAGAATCTCACGAGTACTGTAATAATGCTCTAGCCCACGTGTAATATACAACATTATATCTACGACTGCTAAAAATTACTTAAAAATCAATTTCTTTAAAAAGGTTTATTTTGACATATGTATATAAAAATATTTTGAAATGATTGTTGACAATTTTGAATTAATGTCAGTTTCAATAACATGTTTACTCATCTAGTATAAGTGTTTCGAAATGCAAAAAACAACAATTAACGTTTATAATAAATAGTATTGTTTCTCTTTAAATAGGTAGCACTTTTTCTTTTGCATTCTTGCTCGATTCAATAAATTAAGTCTGTTTTGATTGGACTAAAAATGCGTTATGTAACTCAAATCACCTCAAATGAGTGTGGTGACTCGGTCTACGACTTCGTACAGTAATTATGTTTTTGTAATTCGCTACGGTAATGGAAGCTATAACAGTACTCAAACGGGTGCTGTAATGAGACTCCTTACAGCATCCGATGCTGTAATGAGATTTTAGTAACATTTTATGGAACCAGTTCAAGTTGGTGACATTGGGTCATTAATTTTTCTAGTTGTCAATGTGACAATTTTTGTCTATGGATGTTCTTAGCATCGAATACAAGGTCCACAATGATGAGGACATGTTGACTCTGAGCAATTTCTCTTATTTTGGGAGGTGTACATCAAACATTTTTTTCAGGTGAATATATTTTGTGTTTTGACAGTTTCTAATTGTCAATTCAAAATTTCTATTTTCAAGTGTTCCGGTGTTACCAACTGCTACATACCTATTTCCCTACATTGCCAAAATTTACTTTATTTCTGTTAAAAAAAAGTATAAAAACGCGAATTACAAAAAATAGCATAAAAAACACGTTTCATAAGACTTAAAGCAGTCATTCATTAAAAAACTCGTGGCTTCGCCACTCGTTTTTCAACTTGAATTCGTGCATTTCAAGCGTGTCTTACGAAACTTGTTTTTTAATATACTATTCTGGCCCACTTGTAATATAAATAACTATTTTGTAATTCGCGACGGTAATGAAAGCTATAACAGTACTCAAATGGGTGCTGTAATGAGACTCCTTACAGCATCCAATGCTGTAATGGGATTTTAGTAACATTTTATGGAACCAGTTCAAGTTGGTGACATTTTATTAATTTCTTTAATCTTCTTCTTTTCGCACCACGACTTAAATTTAGCGCACTGTTGTTCGTGCCTTTCATGACACTCTCTTTCTGGAAGTAGCATTTTAATAGAATTCTAGAGCAATTTCTCTTAGAACGGGAGATGTACAGGGTGGTTCAAATTCGATGTCCGAATTTCGTTTTGTCATTTTGTTTTTCCCCTAGAGGCCAAAATTGAAAATATCGTAAAACCAACAAGTGCAATTATCTTGGTTATTATTATAGGTGGAGTATTATAACTAAGACATTATATGGACACTTTTTTACAGAGAATTTCAAGACGTAGTTAAACAAAATTTTTAGGTGTTAGATTTTGAGATATTATGACAATTTTCGTTTTTTTAAATGGAAACAACCACGATTATTCGCTTATTAAATTCGTTATTTTTTTCTGATTACAAAAATATGGGGTTAGATAGGTCTATTTCTTATTGTTTTAGAATAAAGCTAAAAATAAACTTTTTTTTAGTGTCGTCAAAGAAATTAAATTTACAGTTTCCTGTAAATTA